GCGCTAGTTTCTCCTTGGGCCGCAGTACCGAGACAAGCTTTAGCTTTTGGCCAACGGAAGACTCGGCGGACAGGGGTGCAGATGGCTTGCCGTTTGCGCTCGCTGCGGCTGGGGTATCCTTCTTTGGCAACCTGTAGGGAACGAACGACTCGACCTGGCGATCCTTGAAATCAATATCGAGTACAACAACCTCATTGCCGTCGCGGTCTTTGCACTTGACAATCTGTTGCTTGTCTAGATATTTGATAAACTTCTTGAGGTTCTTCCAACTTGTCTTCTTGATCTGGAGCGAAGTGGTGCGCGCGGGGGTGTATGTGGGGAGGAATGGCTGGACGAGCATGTTATTGACGTTTGATTGCGAGAGCGGGAAGTCGAGGCCGTAGGAAGGGTGGCCCTTGTTGTGATCCATGTGGTAGCGGACGCCGTACAAGAATGCGTTCTTGAAGGCTTCATCGATTTCTGAAACTTGTCAGCAGATGATTGATGTAGTGAAGAGGAAAAGGCATACCCTTGGTTGTCAGCTCTTTATCTTCAAGAACGTCGATGAAGTCATTGTTAGATGGCGCATCTTCGCCTTGCACACCCTGTGATTTCTCCGCCTCTGACCGTTGGGTGGGAGTGGCATCGAGAGTAACACCACCGTCCTCGTCGTCCAAGTCTACGGCTGCGGCGCGTTCAGCGAGACTCGCCTCGTCGCCATTGTCGTCGTCCCAGCCCTCGAGGATACCAGGAGGCTCACTGCCCGCTTTGCCTGTTGAGCTCCAGGACCACAGCTCGTCGCCTGCCCAGTGGAAGGTTGAGACAGCAATGCCCTTGGTGCCTTGGGTTTTGCCCAGCGCGCTCACGTCGATGGTGCATTCGCCGACGGCCATGGGGACAGTCGGAGCCTCGAGACTTGCAACGGCGACGATTGCGCCCTTGGTCGCTCTCTTGGGGAAAGGCGGGCCTCGTTGAAGGCCAGGCGTCATCAAGTCGGCGCCTCCCTGCATCTTCTCGACGACGACGAGTGGCGTGTATAGCAGCGGGACTATGCGGGGGTTGTGCCAGAGGGTGTAGACGGTAGGGTACATGCTGTCGCCAACCTTGACCCACAGGACTCTCTGATGCCCGCCTGTGCCCTCATGGCTGCCTACGTATATTGTTCCTGACACTTGCTTGAGGTCGGGCCCTGCGGTGGTGGTGAAGCGCGCCGACAGGGCATTCTCTGGGAGTATTGCTTTGCGCAGTGCGGTCAGGCCGGCGGTGGAGGCTGTCTTGTCTTGGGGATTTGCGTCGCTTTCTACGGGAATCTCTATGCCAAAGTCGGCGATGATCTGGTCGGCGGTCCTGCGGCGGTCGCTAGACTTGAGCGGGGAGAGGGGCTTGATCTGGCGAGGGTTAGTCTGAGCGCGAGTACGTGCGGAATTGTTCCTACAGTTGGTTTCTTCTTGAACATGTTGAACTACGATGCTTCTGCTGCAGTCGCTGGATGTCGTGAGCTAGGGCAGGACTCTGCGCGCGCCGGCCGCAAATAATGTTGGACGCGGCGACTGTCCATGACTTCAGCGGGGCAGCTAGCGCGTTCTCCCCAAGGGGTTGCCATGTGCCTCACTCACCGTGAGTGAAGGCTGCATGCAGCATGAGTCGAAACTCATCGAAGCTCCCCCTCGTGCTGACTGCTGACTACTTACTACTCATCTGCCGAACCTTTGCGCCTGACATCGTCGCCATCGCACTCGTCCATGCACAGAAGCTTTGTGCTGGACAATTATGCAGTACGAGGTCCACGGATGACCCAGAGACCCGGTCGTCGCATTAGACTTTTGTCACCAGCCAAACTATCGCATTGCGAGTATCGGATTTGGGTGCCGAAGCTACTTTTTCCTTGGTTGGGCTTTTGTTGACGTCGGGAGATTAACCACACCTGCAGGCGCGTGCTGGCCTCACCTGTCGATCCTGAAATCATAACGCTCCTTAGTCGCTTCAGGGCCCAAGACGTCCCTCGGCAGCGACACCAACACCACCATGTACACATGCCTCGACCATTATAGCCCATGGGCCTATTTGCGTCGGGCACAGCCTCCGGATAAAACCATCTCACCTCATGTACTCCATGACCATCCGTCGTCGCAAGCTGAGCACAAAGGTTGACCTGTTGCAGCTGTTGTGCAGTCACGTTGCAGAGACGCCATTCATTGCTCGTTTGAGACCTGGTCTTTGACGTACTACCGCCATTGTCCTCCACACAAACAAGGACGCTTGGTAATGGACTATCCTTCAAGCGAAATCAGCCTCGCACACGAAACGACTAGATGCAAGGAGATGAACAATGTAGATAGACTTCGTCCCCAGATTCCAGGACACTGGCCCAGGCCGCAGCGTCGGTTGAGCCCCATGTCGCTCACCCGCCGCAACATCCATGCACCTGCCAGCACTCGGCGTTAAGGTAAGCCAGTTCCGGTCAAGGCGTGCTGAGCTTCAATTTTTAGCCGGCCAGGCACCACAACGCGTGTGTTTGTTGCACGGTACGCACCTCTGTGCTGCCATTTACCTCTTTCGCAACAGCTGGGGTAGTTTTTTTCGCACGAGCTTGCGCATCCAGTCCCCATTCCATTGCGGAAGTCGGACTGCAAACACTGCAGTGGTTCGTGGTGGCGGGGGCGTCAGCGAAAGACTTGCCGGGCCAGCCAATGGATCAGGGCCTCGATGCTATGTCGACAACGGCTGGCGTATTCACAGCTTCGACAAACACTTCTTGGTCGCGTGGTGCCAGTGGCCGACTGAGCGCCACGGCCATGATTCAGTCGCACTACGCCTTGCTTAGGCAAAGCACCAACATGCACGCACTCGGGCCCCCGGAGCCTCCAGGATGACCGTCGCCCGTAAAGGTCATGGCGAGATGCGGAGAACTGGCGCGCCACGAGAAACGCCCAGCTGCGCCCGTTTGTTCTTGTGCTCATTCCCCATCTTTCCTCATAAACCCGTCCTTGTCGCTCACACCCACGCCTGCCATGGTAAAAGTGCTGAGATTGACTCTGAAGCTTTTCGCGTTGTGACATCACAGCACGCTTCCTCGGCATCTGCCCCGGCTTCCGGAACCGACATCGAAAATTCTGCGAACACCATGAGTCCCATACCGGATATGCAATGGAAGGAGCATGAAGTGGTGCCCAAGCCCAGTGACCCAGAGGAACTCATACTGGAAGCATGGGCGCAGGGCTATTTGGTTGGGTCCCTCATCATCATGGCCTTCATCACGCTGGCCAACATGAGGCGAGGCGTGCTGTTGCACAAGGTTAGTAGAGAAGCCCTTTGAGCAATGACCACCGCTGACAACCATCTAGTTAATTCTACTCGAAGTGAGTCCACATTAATACGTCTGCTTACGTCCGTACTGATCAATTCTAGCTCATCCTCGGCATATGGCAAGGATTTTGGCTCTTCTTCCCCAGTCCAGTCCACGCGTGGTGGCTCTCCGTTGCCGCCATCTTCCTCAACGCTTCATGGTCTCTGCATAATGTCATTGCCTGGATGAAGATTAAACCATTTCTCTCCAAGCCTGTCAGCTACATCTTCATCGGCACTGTAATCCTCGCTCAGTCGTACTGGATTCTGGAGATATACGCCAACTTCGCCTACTTCCATGGCGTTAACAAGATATTTCTGTCCACACGACCATACGAGGCGCTATGTCGCGATCCTTGGTGGATTTTCACCACCATCTATCTCTTCTGGGTCATCAAGACCCAGTACGAACTGAGCCTCAAAGAAATCATACGCATCTCGCCACGTTTTGGCATCATGTTGTTGTCCATGTTGCTCAGCATAATCTTCATCATCCTAGACATTCTCACCGTCACCAGGGCTATTGGTCTTCCAGGTCCTACAGGCATCAATCCTTTCTGGAAGTTTGCATTTGTCTTCAAGTGCCTGACGGACTCTGTTGTTCTCGACGATTTCAAGGTGGCGCTCGACCGCCTGCGAGCCTTCAGGATCAGCCGATTGGGCAGCTTTTCGGGTGACATGAGCGATAGTCGGAGTCGTCCTGACAACAACCTTGTCGCCACGTGGGAAGAGATGGAGAGGGAAGTCAATGCGCTTCAGAATGTGCGCAGCCCAGATGGCGACTACATACATCCCAGCAACTTCCCATACAAGCCAAAGCGGGCGCGCAGGCCTCACAAAGACTCAGTCATGTTTCCCAATCAACCGGATTACCGGGACTCTAATGCTGGATTGGACCCGGAAGATATTGTACCCAGTGCGTTAGGTGACGGTCCAATAAGGGCAGATGCACAACCCGTGCAGAAGAAACAACATCAATTTATTGACGACATGGTCAACCACAACAAAAGAGATTTGGTTGCTGAGAACGACTACGCTGAGGCGATGAGGGACATGCAGCGAGATAGTGTATCCACACCTGTTCGAACGAGCGAATCTACCCGTCGAGCCACGCCACCAGGCTGAACGACAAAGGAACCTTAACACTCGACACGTGTCGAACGACTCGTCAGCAACCGGGAACGGGACGGCACCCATCAGGTCGGCTATAGACATGCCTACCCATGTGGTACACGAGCACACCAGATGCGACCTCAATCCTTGCGCACACCACAATCGGCGCAGTGGACAGGCATAGCCCAGTGAAGGCTATACACAGATTTGGGCGGTGGTGGAAGGATAGAAGCAGTCAGTGATACACTTTTGCGAGTTGAAGTGATGACAAGCGGCATGTTGATACGACGGCGTCATGTACATGCTTGCAGGCATTGGTCAAATTGGCCACATCTATATACCCATTTGCTATTCAGTGATAAGCCATATGCTATATTGCATACGAACCAGGAATCATATACAGAGACACAGACAAATAATTATTATTTACCATTTTGAACGATACTTGAAGTACCGGTTGACCAGCCCTGTTCCCTTTCCTCGCTTTCGTTGGTGGTGTGTAAGATCTCCTTGAAAAGGCACATGAGCATCGCGGACGATACAACAATGTGCGAGATTGGTGTTTATCCTCCTTCAATATAGAGACCTTTCTTCCACGCCAACTCCACAAGAGGCTGTTTTCTCGAGCCACCCTCATATATTGCACACACATGACCATTGTCATTGGTGACAATGTTTCTCGTAGCCAAGTAAGGGCTCCAATGTATGTCCTTGGCGAACTGTGGAGCTTTTGACCCAATCTTTGTTCCACGACAGTGCTCTGCAGCTGTTACGCAATATTTGCCGCTAAGTGCACCAAATGATGTGTCTGCTGATTTCAGGCTGTACTTGTTCCATCGAGAATGGACTTTTAGTGCGAACTTCTCCTGTTTTTCATTGGAAGATATCATGTAGAAAAGGTTGCTGTGTGGCCCAACGCAGACGAGTACGGATCCATCGAGGAAGCCAGGCCAGCGTTGCAAGACTGATGGCCACGAGCTTGCAAATGAGTATCCCATAATGCTAACTGAGGAGATATTCATGATGAACGAAGGTCTAGAAGAAGGCGCGTCAAGCCGTGGAAGAAGTGGACGACTGTCCCAGACGTTGCTCTCAGTGACCTTGAAAGGATGCCAGCCATCATGCCCGATGTATATCAATTTCCATCCACTAGTGCGAGCTATGCCTTTCCAGAAGCCGGTTTTGAAGATGCGAACAGGTGGACAGCCGCTAGCTCTCGCAAACAATTTTCCGTCTCCTCTCAGATCTTGCTTAAGCAAGATTCCTATACTTGCAAAACAATCCCCATCCTGCTGCTGCTCTTCTACGATGCCTAGCCAGATCTTTTCTTGCGCATCAACAAGAACCATGAAAAGCTCGATGTGTAAGCCACGTCCAGTCACGGTAGTATGAGTTCTTGATGTCCGTCGATGCCGCCAAAAGTTTTCCTTCAGATGTTCAAGAAATGCTGCTGGTGATGTTGCGAGATACGAATCGTTTGGCGAGCAAGGAAGGTTGTATCCCCAAGCCAGAAGGCTTATGTCGTCCGACCCACTCAGAACAGCCTCTTGCAACCGAATGAAGGCTTTGGTACCTTCCCCGTACAACAACGGCATATTTATGTCAAGCAGACCTAGCAAACAATATGCCTCGTCCTCCACACGAGTCGTCCTTCGTTTCGCCATCCATGAGAATTTGTATGCTGCTGAAACGAATCGCAGGGACCAGCGATGAAGGAGAAAGTATTTGTGAATAGACGTGACATCGCTCAGGAGTGTGATCCATGCTTCGTTAGCCGTATTGCTGGAATCTCTGGTGTTTGTAGGGGAAACTAGCATCCATGCGGTGTCGTAAAATCGTATCAGTCGCGGGGCAAGCAGCTCTTGTAAGGTCCATCCTCTAGTAAACCATCGACTATCTCGAAACGCGGAGTCTTGTGCGTAGATATCTGATGCGGATGGTACATCCTGCAAGTAGGCGTAACACACCTCGGAGGCCTCGTACCAGCGAAACATAGAATTGATAGCCTCCGAAAGTTCCGCACTGCTCGTCTTGTCAATGCAGCACGTATCTACCCATACCCAGAGTAATCCATCCTTTTTCGCTTGCTGACAGCAACCTTCTATCTTGGTGTAACCTTGCTTCTGCTGGTGTCCTTGTCTTGCCAGATCCTGCAGCGTGACTTCTTCAGGTCCCCATGTATGCGAGAGAATTGCGTACGGAGGGACTGTATCACCAGAGAACTCCTCCAGCTGCCGTGTGTTGACATTGAGCAGTCTCATATTCTGTATATCGCATGCACTGATAAGGCTGAAATCGCCTTTACGCAACACTTCTGTCGTGACCAAGATCAAGACATGAATTAACAAATGTAAGCCGCTGTACAGCGGTCACCTTGAAGAGATGAAGTAGCGTTCTAGAGCGGTAGTACGTATTTATGAGTTCCTTCGCAAGTGAAGGCTACGAGAACGGATAGGTAGTCAAGCTGGGGGGAAGCATGCTTATTGCTGCATCGATGTTCAGCCGCAGCCACAAACGTCGCGCACCCTCATTCGACTTTTCATGACCAAAACAACGGTTGCCACAACTCATACCGGTTAGAAAGTTGAAAATGTAGTCGTAGCGGTACCTGGACACTTGCACGTATGGATTCTACAGTCCCAGAAATGGTTGTAGCCTAAGTCGGTGGCCTGTCACATGAGCTGCGCGATTCAGACACGTGCTGCTGACAAGCTAGACTCCAAGTCGCTGAATTGAACGACTATGTGCTGAGATCACTTACAAGGTAAGTAAGTTGCGAATCGATAAAGCCGATCTGCGCATTCGTCCACATGCTTCTAGCGCGGAACATTCCGTGCCTCGGCTCGCGATTAGGCAATGCACCTGAACCTTCGCAAGGGATGAGGTGTCATATGCTGACGGGTGTTCAAGAACGTGTCCGCTCCTTCCTGTGGTTCGTTACATCAACAGCTGCCTTCTGGCATGGTCACAATGGCGCAGACGGCTAGCATCGTCGTTGCGGGCGCGTCGATAGCAGCACTCGTGTCGCAACCCGCGCTGAGAGGCAACCTGATGGCTATGCTCGCCAAATGGACAGGATACAACGCGCCTGAAGGTGTGTGGAGGATAGCAGCGATTCTTCTCGCATTAGCCAACCTCAAGAATTTGCCGTTCGTATGGCACGTACGTACTGAGCGAAATACTTGGGACCGCAACATCAAGCTGACCGACATAGCTACGCTTCATTCGTGCCTTCTTCTATCAGCTCTATCTCCAACCGACCCCGATCCCTCCGCATGCGCTCTTCCAGCCCATCATAACCTCGACCCGCACTACGCTCCTCGAAACAGACTACAACATGCACAAGTCCAACAGCACTTACTTCAGCGACATGGACATATCACGTACACATCTCTTCACCGCGCTTATCCGCAACGGTATCAGGAAGAACAGTCGTCTCTATGGCGCCAAGAAGAACACAGTAGCAGGAGCAGTAGGTGCAACTGAAGGCACACGGGGTAAGCACATGATCGCGCTAGGTGGCATAAGCTGTCTGTTCAAGAAAGAGATACTGCCGTACAAGAAGTACGAGATGTGGACAAGACTCCTCTGCTGGGACAGGAAGTGGTTCTATCTAGTCACACATCTAGTTAAGCCCGGTGTAGGACAACCAGAGAGCTGGACACTGCAACCTTGGAAGAAGTCTAAGAGCAACAAGGACGTGGATCCCGAAAAGCTGAAGGGCGCTGTATATGCAACTGCGATTGCAAAGTATGTTATCAAAAGAGGCAGAATTACAGTCCCACCTGAGCAGGCGCTGATCGATGCCGATATGGTCCCAATGAAGCCCGAAGGCTGGGTCTATCAGGGGCAAGTACCTGAAGAATATGAAGCGAACGGCGATGTTCTGCCTAAGGCTGTCGAGGCGAAGGATTGGAACTGGGACGTTATCGAGGCAGAGCGACTAAGGGGCTTGAAGGTGGCTGAGAACTTTGCAGCAATGGACGGCATGCACGACTTCTTTGATGGCGGAAAGGATGGTGTTTTGGGAGAATATCCGGATTTGTTGTTCTGATTGGGGTTGATTCACTAGAGAGAGCTTGATACCCTAGATCTAAAGGCAGGCTTGCGACATAGAACGACGAGGCTGATGTGAAAACGTACTTTGGAAAGCCGATAGGGATTATGACATTTACATGGATAATCTTCTCACACACGTTTTCTGCTTTACTACCATTGGCAGAGGCGGTTTTCTCCATGGTTGGTATAGGGAACACTAGCGTTGCGCTAAGCCACTGATGTACTCTGGGCCTGCGCCGCCTTTTCCAGTGCTGCGGTTGATAATTCACCGGTCACCACATGTAGCGGGCCAGCTATATGGGGCCGCGACCCGCTGGTTCAGCCTGATGGCTCTCAGACTTTGATGCCTTTATGCGACTAACATAATCCACTGACCAGCAAGGCGCAGGTTTCCAAAGGCACTCACACCGAGCTCATAGTCTTTCTTCTGGTACTACGATACATCCGCATGACAGACACCCCAGCAGTCATGGCCGCAACAACAAGCGTTTCTGGAATCGGAGGTCCAGACATGGCTTACATCGGAGAACTTTACGAGAATATATCCCGACACCCACCAGGCATAGGTGCTAGAAAGCTGCTCATTGAACATTACATGTCAGTCGGCAACGAATGGTTAGAAGGAGCATTAGACGAGGCAAAGAAACTTCAGAGTTTGGATCCAACAGACTCTGATGTTGCCGAGTTTTTGAGGATTCTCGAGAAGAAGCCAGAGCCTCCAGCGCCCGAAAAGAAGGCAGCCGAAGCCAAGCCCGCGTCTTTGACGCAATCACGGGTCGAGGTTATCAACAATGTCCGACATAAAGCTAAACCGATACGTAAACGTGAATCAAACCACCTGGACTTGATTTCGGGAAAGCCGGTCGGCGATTTGGACGATTCGCAGCAAGACCTGGTCATTGGATACCAAAATATACGTGCAAAGGCAACTCACGTATTCGCGAACCTGCTACGTCTACAGGCCCTCCAGAGGAAAGCCGGCTTGCCCCAATCCAAAAACCTCGGCAAAGTTCATGCTATGGTAGATGGTGACGATAACGCCACCTACATTGGGATGCGACCGCCTGCAAGTGCTCGTTCTGTAGCGCGCAATGTTCGGAACAACTCCAAAGAGGCCACCAACCTTGTCATAACAGATCTGGAAGACGTGCTCAAGTGGATTCGCGCGCCAAATGGCACGCCTTCAGGTGCAAGTATCGATTCCATCCGCGATGCTCTTGTCACACGTCGGAGAGCAATCGAATCGGCGCTTCCTGACGAGCTAAAGATCCATTGCGAGCTAGGCTTCATGCACGTTGAGCATGAACATCTCGAAAGAAATTATGTCAATGACGAGACTATGCTCGGAGACGAGGTCAAGGATATCGCAAGGGAGGACTTCTACGTAACTGAAGACAACTACGCGTGGTCGATGGACGGTGCGTAATCCTACATGTGCGAACTATACGTGCTACGTTCACTGACTTCATAAACCCTCTTCAAGAACTCGTTCAGGCTATACAGGCAAACAGTGGTATATTTCGAAACCCTCTCAGCAAAGAGATGTTCACACCGAAAGATGTCAAGGGAATTCTCCTACATCCAACAGGCCGCTCTTTAGCGGCTCTCCGCGTTGAGCAGCACAAAATGTCCAAGGGGGTGCGGACTGATACGATCGTTCGGATGGAGAAGCTATCAGCGGTTTTGCTGGAAGATCAAAGTAGCGATAACCTCCCCAGTCGAAAAGCAGTAGACGAGTTTCTTCTTTATATCGCAACCCGTAAGTCATCGCTTAAAACGATGGCGCTCTATCAGCTGACATCGTAGCAGTGCCAGACCTTGAGCAGAAAGCGATAGAAAGCCTTAAATGCCCTGCCAAAGACTCTCACACCGGACAGCATTATGATTTCACCATCGGTGAGGCAGTACGGGACGCAAAAGGCAATCTCGTGTGTTTTCACAAGACGGGCGATTTCATCAAGCAAGCCGCTGCACACTTGCGAAGGAACTGTGGTGTCGCCCCAGACACAGAGCAAGGGAACTGTTCAGCCATGTGAGAGCTTTTAGCAGCTTCTTCGGCTCAGATATTGACCCCGTGTATTTCGAGATAGTGGTTTAATGCCTTCTTGGGTGATACGTTATGCCTAACGGCTGTAGGCGCCTGTAAAGATATGAGCTATGGTCAAGCACACTACACAGGTAATCATTACAGTGGTATTCTAGGTTACGGCCTTATGCATGGAGATATTTTGCGATTGGATGATGCCGGTTTCCGGCGCGGCACCCAAGGACCTTTAGATTATACAGCCCACAAGGCATTCCCACACCCCACTTGTTAGGCTCATCTGCCAAGTGTTTCCCGCCAGTGGTCCTCTACATTGGATTCTTATGTTCGTATATTCGCTAACCGTTGTCTAGTACCGTGGTCAGCCTAACCAATCGCCATGGCCCTAGCTGTTTTGGGAGCCGGTCAACTTACATTCGGTACAAGCCACCCTATTCAGCCTTGTGCGCAGCCACGAAGTCTTGGTTCCCTGTAGTAACAGCCCAACCAACACATGGACAGAATACCAAGGTACTCGATTGGACTTATGCGTTCGAAGTCACGCCCAAGAATGGGTCTCCAATATCTGATGTTCATACTTGCTCATCAGGTTCACTTACCTCGGCCGGTTGGCTGTACCTCCTCGAACACCACCAAATCTTTTGTTGCTCCAGACCTTGCTGGTCTCCCAATCATACCAACCAAGCACGGGTGGGTCGTACCCTTAGGCGCATCGCCCTGGATAGTCGCAATTTGCTCGGATGTTCTTCTGTCTCTTTCCCAAGTACCAGATCCATAGATACTTTAGCACGAACCGTTCGCGACAAGACTACAAGCAGCCCTGTCTTCTAGTCCCACTTTATCACATATTCTTTGGCAAAACGTAAATACTATAAAGACACATGACAAGCATGGACGCCGCTATTATCATTCCTCCTGTAGCCGGACGAACCACCGACAAACGCTCACGTATGTCCTGGGCCAAGAGAACACTCCCCTTGAAGAATCCCACGTTCTTCAAGAAGGTCGGAGACAGTCAATTATGGCATGAAGAGGTGGAGGCCACTGCCGGGCAACTGCACCCCTCAGATCCTCGGTTCCCATGGGGCTTCGTCCGTAACCACACCGATACCTATCTTAAGAAGAAGGGCAAACTTAGTCAGGAAGATACAGATATAAGACTGACAGAACTGGTTCAAACACATCGGACAAGAGATATCGCTGTAGCTGCTGTAGCACATGCTATGACAACGCAAAGCCTCAGCCTGTTGCTACTTGCTGAAACGAATATCGTATATGGAAGTTACTGGGGTCTCGACACATGGCTACAGAGCTTGATAGCCGCGAATGAAGGCAACCCTGTCTCAACAACACGTTTAGAAGCACAATGGGCACGTATGCTTCTGCCTTATTCCACTTTCGGCGCCAGCGCAGCCGGCCGCTACCTGAAGGGCGTGACGCACGCCCTGAAAGAGTTCGAAACACGGAACATGCAAGGTGTCCTTGGTAACTTCGCGGCGATTCTACGCAGAGCCATAAAGGATTATGCAGCCCAACTGGAAGGTTTCCGATTAACATGTGACTGGGTCGCAGCTAAGCAAGCAGTAGACTGGATGAGAATACTGGACGTATCGTTGCCTCTAGATTCATCAGGCACGCTCAGCATAGAAATTATCTTCGATGAGCAATTTCCGGCCTGGAGGATGTGGGCTTCATGGAAACCAGACGTCGATCGCCTCACACGATATTCCAAGTTAAACAGCAGATGGACGTCGACTATCCTCGATCTGTTGGCGCTGGAAGGGCCTGATCTGGTTACTGGCGCCGAAAGGACATTACGCCATGGGTTGGTAGCGGACTATAGCGAGCAACGCCGATGGATACACTATCGTGGTCTGGTAATCGAAGTTCCTGAGCTTACAAGAGTATGCTTGGCCGCCGTCTTAGGAAGACTCCTGCGAGGCTTGGATTCAGTTTCTACCTCAATATCAGATGGTGAAAGCCTATTCAACCTCTTTCGATCTTTGACGATAGAACGAGCGATCACCAAGAGCGAGCTAGATCTTTTGGATGCATCCCTCGAGATCGGCCATAAATCCAAAGCCGATTACTTTACCGCTGTTCGTAGAATATGGTCTGAGAAAGAGCACGTTTGTGGAATGCATATCAGTTCCCTTCAACAGCTTCTTGTTGTTCTCGAGGAACCTGAAGCGACAACTTTCCGCGAACTTTTCCTCCACGATTGGTTCCTTCACGGCTTTGAGGAATGCTTCCGCAAATGCCAACTTGTCATACGAGAGCAGGTCACTACCCCTGCTTGGCTACGTCTACTACTCGAGCTACATGGATTTTGTACTGCCGTTAAAGCATCCACACACGTATTTCCGCAGCTGAGGCTTGAGTTCCAGACCAAGATGCGAGATTGGCCAAGTGACCAACGAATGACTTCGATCAAGGAAATCTATATCGCAGCTCAGAATTTGTGTTTAGATGAAGTGCAGACAAGGAGTGCATTCGTTTGGGTTGACCCTGACATCACCACTGGGTCCATCTTACCAAGATCCTATTCAGAAGACATCAAGGCGCGACACTCGATAGAAGTAATCATCGAGAAATACTGTCTCGACCACCTACTGAATATGGATGCGACTTGCAATACTGTTGATGGAGCGTTGCGCGATATCTTAGAGGTCTGGGAGAACACTGTGGAAGGAGTGAATGACAGTGACCGGCGCATGCTCGCAATCCTTGTTTCGAGAGATATTGGTCACTCTGTAGTACACCGCTGCGAGTGCATTTTTGAGCTTGCCGTAGATCTCGGTCTAGGTCAACAATCTACGTTTGTTGAGGACATGTTACGTATCGTTAAAGTGGCGGAGAATGATTCGCGGCAAGCCATCATTGCCTTCACGAACATTCTGGCCATCCGAAAAGGCTGCACGCAGTGTTGGAGATCTCTCTTGTACAGATGGCTGGATCAAGACGATAAGCTCGAAGCAAGGAACGGAACTGCCCTCGTTGATTACTTGGCCCAAACGATGAACACTAGAACTTGGCTCTCGTTCATGCGATCGCTCGAGACACTCTTCAAGGATCTAGTCTTCTACGACACCGAAGAGCATACATTACCATCTTTATTGGACCCTCAGCTTCTTTCCTGGGTATCGAAGGTGAACAAGTTTAGTCGTACTTTGATGATTCTTGAAGACTTGGGTGGCGATTCCATCGCAGTACGCTCAATTCTTTCCTCAAGCAAAGAACCACAGAGAACAGAGAATCTCGCTATACTCTCATATCTTCAAAGAGCTGAAGGTAGTCTATCCGAGGCGATCATGCAGAGAATCGTTATATGGTTATCCGGCAAGAGATCGGACGTGCACGAAGTCAAAGAATGCTTGCACAAACTACTTGGCGCGGCTAACGACACCATACTAGCTTGTCAAGAAATTTTCGATGCGAAATTTGGCTTCTTAGATATACCCGGCCTTCCCACCCACGAACAAGCCGGTCTCAACAGGATTGTTGGGAGAGACTACGTCTTCTATGAGGGCACATGCAAACTATACAAGACCACTCTAGAAGGCGACTCGTCGACCCCCAGGAACATCGAACCACGTACACAACACGTTGTTTCCAGAAGAAGATACGACACTCCATTAGCAGTGGCTGAGGTCATGGTTGCTGGCTGGATCCAAGACGACGGCGTGAAACCGGAGATGAAGACTGTCATTGACTGCTTCGCTCGGTTGCTCAATTTGGAGGTATACAGTAATGCAATACCTGAAACGGAGCTTCTCAAAGCAACAGAATTCTGGGAGGGCATTGAAGCAGAAATTACGCGAGAAGCCGATCGCCTCGAGGGTCTGAAGCGAGCACTCAAAATGAAAGACCCTGTGGGTACCGCCCTGTTACTTGAGGAGTATGACGTGCCCGACACTAGCTTCCTTGAAGAGGAAATACTGGAACTCCCTGCTGGTATTGTTGATCTAGTCGAGCTGATAGACGATGACGAGGTCGAGATGAGCTTCTCGCTCGCTTCGTACACTGAGCTACAACGAAGCGCCATGGGCGTTCCAGGCGCAGCAAATAACTTACTCGTACGGTTATATCTCAACCGTTATGGGAACACGCCGCCAAGATTCTGTACACATTACGACAGCGACACTGATCTTGAGACTATGCAACATATCCCATGGATTTGCTATGAGTCGTCTATAGTGCCACACGAGCATGTATGCTTTTCACCGCAAAGTGTTTTCATATGGCAGCTTAACAGACTCATTCTGAAGCACATTATCAGCCGGGATGTAACGATAGCAGGATTCTATTCCACCGTTTCATGTGCCATCAGAGAGATGGGCCGCCTGTGTGTCTGCTGTGGAGCAGATCAAAAAGCGAAGAAGGCGCAATTACGAAGATCGACGCCTTGCAGCCTCGTCGCATGTGCGCAGCTATGGTACGACGACATTATATACGAAGCTGCAAATAGTACGTTCGCTGATCACCAGCATAATAGGTATTCCCTCCCACTAGAGATCCGCATACCAGAAATTCGGACGGACATCTTCACTGTCGACATGCTCTTGTCCTCCGTGTACAATGCAGCTTGTACCGACTCCCTAAAATTCCTCCCAGACTGCCCTATCCGTACAGCCAGCTCCATCAAAGCAATCCTCAACTCACTCCCAAAGCTCTCTGTGATCCGTGACGCAGTCCACATCTCCAGGGTCCTTGAACAGTACCACGCCGACGCCGAAAAGCTCATTTCATGGGCCTGTACGCAGTTTCGAGGCTATATAGCTACAGCGAGTGGGTTGTGTAAGATTAAAAACTTACCAATAGGTACCCATCAATTTGTGCTCGCGAATGCGAGTCCAAAGCTCGAAACAACATACTTGTCCCGCCTACCGAAACCCTCTTCGGAAACTACAGTACTCTTCCATGGCACATCACTCGACCGCCTCCCGGCAATCCTTACCCAAGGCCTCGTCGTTTGCTCTGGCACATCTTTAGAACGCACCGGCGCCGTATACGGAAAAGGCATCTATCTGGCGGAAGACCCTGCGACTTCATTCAGTTACTCGACTATCAACTCGAGCTGGCGTAACAGTGCGCTTTCCAATATGCGACTTATGCTTGGATGCGAGGTCGTTGGCAAGGGGAGGAGCGTGAGTCGTGGGATTCATGCATTGGAAGATGGACGTGATGTTATGGTGAGGTATATTTTCCTGTTTCCACGTAATTCTGTAGCACCTGTGGCGAATCATATCGTTACTGCTATGGGGAGTGCAATGGCGGCATTGAGGACGGGCGTTGTGTAGAATGGTGGATGCGAAAGCGGGACAGACTACATGAAGGCCTGTCAGTTGGACCTGTCTTATAACACAATGTGCTTCAAAAATGAGCGCGAAATGATCTCCTGGCTTTATTCATGCACCCATGTAGATTTCATAGTATTCTAAAGTAGGATGGTGCTGCGCCGAATTTTCGTTCTAGTTGCTGGTGCGTACTAAAGTGTGGGATTAGCGAAGTGGACGAACGATACTATCTCGACACTAACACCAGCTCTCCACTTTGACCGGCAGAAACAAGATACTAATTTCTGAGCGGTTCATTACACAAAAACTAGTATTTGAGTTGGCTCTTTCGCATTTTGGAAGTTTTCGGGGTCCATACTCCAGAGAGGCGAATGTGGGGCGGGTCACGCGATGCAAGGCATCGCACAGCACGGAACCATAGGCCATCAAAGGCTAACAGAAGAGCAATGTTACATCAGTTTACTCTAAAATATAAAGCTTTATTACATTGATATTCCGCGAAACGATATACATTCAGATCTCACACTTGGCAGACACAACGGACAAGGAGACGTAGTACTTGCTGATCAGCTGTATATGAGCATCCCCCAGACTTATTGATACAGAGACATATGAATACAACATAGTGTTTGCCAACGTACTCCTTTCTTGGCTTGGCATAGGTGCCAATGTCTTGCGCATCGAACCGTTTCTTTTCATCATAGACGATAGTGAGCAAGTATCGACCAATTACAGATGAAGGTCGTCCCCAATAAATGTGCAAGAGCGATCAGGTACCACAAAGTAACACATGGTGCAGTGCAATTAAGAAAAGTAACAAGGCGAGGTGGCCAAGATTATGCACAGACAGGAGAATACATGTTGTGTGGTACACGGTCTCCCCCGAGACTGTTGTCGACACAGAGACACTTGGCAGCGGAGGACAACTACACGTAATCTGCTGACATACTGTTCAGCGAGGAGAAGCAACGCGTGTACTACCGAATGCTTGGCATGTCATCCCCACGGAGGTGGACTGTCTCATTTCTGGGGTAACTGCATTGCTGATGAGGATCATTCAGTGGGTAATCCATGTTCGTTCTACGACGACGATGATATGGCACTGAAGCGATGTCATCTAAAAACTATATCCAAACGGAACTGTCGTACGGCAATATGATGCACAACGACTGTTGTCTCAGGAAGGTCGTATGGTCTCGTGAAAGTCAAGGGTTGAAAGTCCATGGCTCGGATAGTCCCGCGAGGGCAGCCAAGGGCATGTCAGAAATCCCGCACTCAAGTGCAACGCTTGGAGAGGCTGGGCATAGTAGTCCTAAAGTAAAATGCGGCTGGTGAGCGATAATGATCCGGACACAGACTGCAGAACTAAGTGCCCAGGCGGAGAAGGAGGAATCGCGCACAGCGGACACATTTGATCGTCAGATGGAGTTGGGTGTGCTCAACGCCAAGGGCGATCTACACAGATCCGTCTGGCGCAAAATTGATCTGCTGCTTGGCGGGCCATCAAAAACCATTCTGAGGTGCAACGATAATTAGATTATTCGGGTGCTTGCCCAGGCGGCAGAATGTGTTGTTGTTTCGCGGCACTGATACGTAGGCTTTTGATGTGGGACACAAGAGCCGGTCAAGGAAACTTTCTCCACCAAGCGACCGATGCGCTGGAGCCAAAACGACACTTGAATTCGTCGCGCATGAAGGTATGGCAGAGCTGGCGCCAATCTAGGGATAGTTCCTGGGCAGCAATATGGACAGCAGCCGACGGAAGGCGTATGCTCTTCAATTGGTCATTGAAAAGCACAAAGTGCGCTTGGTTGAGCAAACGGGTGCGTTCGGCGTCTGCAACAGCGTCTGGCTGGAAGAAGACTTGAGTGAGGCGGCTCGTCAAGTCGGCTGTCCCTGCATACGTCTGGTGCAAGGATGGCGTGTCGCGAGCAGTTGCCGGTGAAGATAGTTTCAGAACAAGCCGGGCCTTAGTGTTTGCGGGAGCAAAAGACGAGGGCTGGAAGCGAAACGATGGTAGCTGCACATTCGCGGCCTGATATTGGGGGGTTGAAGGTTGAGTATCACCACGGAGATCAGGAGGGCTGGCATCGTGAGTGAAAGTTTCCCGAGCAGTGGCAGGTGAAACGCGGCTTACAGCAAGGTCCTTAGTGTCTGTCCCGCAAAGCGTAGGCTGCAGGTACGCGAGACGTATCGTGCGAAGACATCTTCCGTCACATGAGCCAGAAAGGGACACGTCTGGCGCAGCACAAACCAGGCGAAACAATGATCGTCTAAATACATGATAATAATGTGCCATATCTCGACAGGTAAGACGTCGGGCGACATGGAAACAGCATGGCGCCGCACAGCGCGTGACGGTGGCGGACCGACACCGGTGGGGGTTCGCGACTCAGGGCTGCTCGGGGCAGACATGGAGAGGTTGGTGTCGGCAGCGACGGTGTGTGATATTTTGTGGGTGCGATGATTATTCCCGCACTCGTTCTGGAGGCAAATGCGGTGAGGCTCACTGGTGTACCGGCGAAGCATCGGCAGTCGTGCAGCCAGCCACGGTAGGCGAGAGGCAGCGAGCCACACCCACAGGGAATGAGGTCACGTGGCACACCGTCGCGGCTTCCTCGTTGGGAAGGCCTTCCACGGTCTGGCTATGGGGCATAATCGCGCATGCGCCTCACCAATGGCCAAGCCAATCCATGGATGCAGCATCGAGGCTGGCCAGGTCCAGCCAACCAGCAGACCCTGCGCAACCGTCAAACTGTGGCATCGCAACGGCGCGGTTTGGACGTGTGGACTCGCAGTTTGTGTTACCACAACATGGACGGTAATTGGGAGGCGTTGGCCAGGCGACGCAGGGCGAGCAGGGCCTCTGATTCGGCCGATATGGGACATGTAATGAATTGCTAAGGCTGGTTTGAGGCAGGCCCCGACGCGCCCCTTAGCCGCGAGGGCCGTGCTCAATCATGGAGTGCGGTGCTTTGTGCAGAAGCGTCGGCGGCCGATACGCGGGGGGCAGAAAACAATTGCTTCATCTGGGCATGCTGGTCGCGCGTATTGCATGGGGGGGAGTCGGATATTATGGCGCGACGGATGCAGTTGAGGCTGACGGGATAAGTGGCATATCTTGGTTCGTGGGTCTGGAAGGCCGCTAGAAGAAAATTGTGCAAATGCAAAAGTCGCGCAGGCGTGGGGAGCAGCAGCGCTGGATACGCGGCTCTCTCGTACGGGGCGAAAAATGCCTCGCATGCGGGCTGGGTGGCTCGCGGTGGCGCCAAGCATTCAAGCTTTCCTATGTGTGAGGGCAGAAGCTTGGTGCGGCCAGAGTGAGCAAGGTGCGTGGAGGAGCTGTTTGCCGGACGCTCTTGCCAAAACGTCATGGGAGCTGATCCCTGCAGCGCTGCACGCTTGTCGCGGACTGTCGCGCTATCTCCAGCTTAATCTCTGCTGCCGCTGCTGAGTGGAGTAGAGCAAGAGTCGCGAACATGCGCCGAGGGAAAGGCAATCACAGCGTCTGGCACACTGGCACCGAGTCTGCCCTCGCAACTGCGCGCAGCCGGCACTCTCAATCGCCCTGCACAATGCACGGGATGGTAGTCAACGGCAGTCAGCCCTCCGTCATCAGCGCATCACCCTCGGCCGGTGAATGCGACGGCCAATCTCTGCTCGCAGTCGCGCGCCGATGATGTAGCGTATCCCGCACGGGCCGCATCTCTGCAAATTCACCCCCGGGACTCTCGGCTCGAGCTAATCCCCATCCATGGTTAGCTTTATGACAATCATAAATCCCTCATAGCGGCCAAAGGTCGGTCCTTGCTGAGTTTTTCCCTGGGTTGATACGTGGGTGAGTTCCTGCCGCGCTACTTAACCAGAGCCTCTCCCGCTCCCATTACATTTTCTTCACAGAGAAGGCCCTGCTTGCAGTTACCCATTTGCACAGCACATTCGACCTGACACTCAACCTCATCGTCAAGTCGCCTCGGAAAAGCCTTCTCTGTGCCTAGAGTTACCGGATATAATAATACATACGAGCAACAGCATTCCCTAATTCGACAAGATGGCGCCCAACGACGATGTTGAGCGCCCACGCGCGTCCAGCGCCGCTGAGCGGCAAAAGTCCATCGTCTCCATGACCGAGTTCGAGGGCATGGACGAATACACCGCGCTCCAGAAGTACATCCTCTTCTACCGCGACACCCGAACCAACCCTCACGCCGAGCAAACCACCAAGAAGAAGGCCTGGTGGCAGTTCTGGAAGTCTGGCTCAGCTACCGCTGCCACTCCCATCCAGGACGCCGGTGCCGTCCCCGACGACTGTAAGTTTTACCATCCTGCTCCATCTCACTCGACTGCATGCACCTGCATCGCACACCACAGCTGTTTGCGGCAGCGCTCAACCTGCCTCGCCAATTCATCCTTTGTTGAGCTTTGCCTCGACATTTGGTGACTGGCATGGTCCGCGCTCAAGCTGCTCCCTGCTAGCGACGCGATAGCGGCAGAAGTGGTGGAGCCAATCATGCAACCCGGCTCCACCAAACTACCCGCTTCTGCAGCATCCGAGATGAGGAACACCATCGAGAGGAATTTTGTTAACATGGAACTGCAGACCTCAACACTGAGCTCCGAACTGGTCTCACCTCGTCCGACGTTGAGCAGCGTCGCAAGCGCTATGGTTACAACGAAATCTCTTCTGAGAAGACCAACCTTCTCAAGCAGTTCATCGGTTACTTCACTGGTCCCATTCTCTACGGTAAGCATCCCTGCACAATCTTGTTTAGCGCAAAACTAACGTAGCATAGTCATGGAGCTCGCTGCTCTTCTCGCCGCTGGTCTTCAGGATTGGGTCGATTTCGGTGTCATCTGCGGTATCCTGTTGCTCAACGCCATCGTCGGTTGGTACCAGGAGAAGCAGGCTGCCGATGTCGTCGCTTCGCTCAAGGGTGATATCGCCATGAAGGCCACCGTCGTTCGTGACAACCAGCAACAGACCATTCTCGCACGTGAGCTTG